TCTTTTCTCTAACTGCTTGTAGAACTTTGTTCTTCTGTTGAGTTTCTGGAATCTTAACTATTATATGCCTATGTGTAGATTTTTTTTGATCAAGGTAGTTGGAGTCCTATATGCCTCACTTATCTGTATGGCAAGTTCTTTTCCCCTCCTTGGGAAGTTTTCTGCCATCACTTCTGTGAATAGTTTTTTTTATGTCATCTGCACTCTCTCCAGTTTCTTCATTGACTCCAATCAGTCTTATGTTATTCTCCTTTGCATTGTCTAGCAGCTCCTGGGTTGATTTCTCATAGTCCGTTACTATTTTAAAGATATTTTTTCTTTTCCTGGTCAGTAATTGCAATCTTATCTTCTATATCTGAAATTCTGTCCTCACATTGGCTCATTCTGCTGTGTAGACTTTTCAATGGAGTTTTTCATCTCCTGGAAATCTGTTTGCATCTCTTTTATGATTCCATTTGTTTCCTATGTTGAGATTCCATCATGTTCCTTAGCTCCTCTATTTTTTTTATATCTGTATCCACTCTAGATTTATTAATCATGTCTTGAATTATGGGCACAATCTCTGCTGTTATCTGAGAAATTATTTCTGATTTCATTTTTTCCAGATCCTCTTTCATTGCAAGTTCAGGGAGTCCAGGTGGTTGAGTATCAGATTGTTCCATCTCTTTTCCCTTTGAGGTTGCTTTAGATGATCTGGGAGTCTGCTTTTGAGAGTTGTTTACATGTCTCCTCATTTCAACAGGGGGGGTGGGGGTGTGTGCTGCTGGCACCCACAAGGCTCACCTCCTTGGTGCTGGGGGCTCTGCTCCTTGGCGCTCAGTGTGGTGGTATGGCAGCCTGGAAGTGGTACAGTGGCCCAGACGTCCCAGCTCCTTGGTGTTCAGGGCAGTAGTATGGCAGCCTAGAAGGCTCAGCTCCTCTGTGCTCAGGGTGATGGTGCAGTGACCCAGAAGTCCCAGTTCCCTAGTGCCCAGAGCAGTGGTATGCTGGCCTGGAAGGCTCACCTCCTCAGCACTGGAAGGGAGCTCTGCTCCTCAGTGCTCAGGGTGGTGGTTTGGTGGCCTGGAAGGCTGTATGTTGATTTTGTATTCTGCTAATTTTCTGGATTTTTTAGTTCTAAGATTGTTTTGGTGGAGTCTTTAGGGTCTTGTAAGTATAGAATCATATCATCTACCAACAGTTATAGTTTATTTTCCTCCTTTCCTATTTGTATCCCTTTCAATTTTTTTCTCTTGCACAATTGCTCTGGCTAAAATTTCAAGCACTATATTTGCTAGGGTTTATATAGATGTCCCCCCAAAGCCTCATGCACTCACAATAGGGTTTTGGGGAGGTGATTGGATTATGGGTGTGTGAAACTTCTCAGTGGATTAGTCCCTTGATGAGTTTATAGCTAAATGTGATGTTGGAGGTGAAGCTTGATATAAGGAGGTGCGTCATTGGGGGCATGGCCCTGGAGGATCTATCTCCCTTCATCTTCCCTTCACTCTCTCTCTTCTTCCTGTCACCATGCCCTGAGTTCTTTCTGATCTGCCATGCCCCTCTGCCACGCCACCCTGCCTTGGAACCAGCCAACAATGGATTGAAACCTAAAATCTGTGAGCCAACAAAACCCTTTTCTTTTTTAAGTTGTGAGTGTCAAGTATTGCATCCTAACAATGAGAAAGTAACTAAGACAATATTGAAAAAGCGTAGTGAGAACACACATGAGGATATCTAGACACTTAGCAAAATTTTCTAGGCTGTTGGAACCTCTAACCCAAACACTGAAATCCTGAAAATGTTTGTCGAATGTAATGCTACATATATGTAACAGTGACTATTGTTTTGTATTTAAGTGGCCGTAAGACCTAATCTTGGAAAGGCAAAGAGCGATGCTTTAGCACTGTCCACAGTTATTAATCTTGAAATCAAGATTAGTAAAACTTGGGAAACAACAAGAGAGGCAGTGGTACTTAAGACTGTACCCCCTGATTGAAATACATTGCCAGCAACTTTTTCAAAGCCCTTTTATGTTCAATCAAGATAGTTACATTCAAATTTCCAGATGACTAATCTTCTTTCATTTTCTTACGAGTTTTTATGTTCTGTCTGGGTTGTTTAATTTAATCCTCTGGGGGAGGGGCTAAGTCTTCCTTGCAGGAAGTTTGGGAAATGTCATTTGCCCCAGGCCAGGCCTCCTGACAACTTTGATGATGAAAAGGAGGTGGCAGAATGTAAGAGAAGTTCAGCATTCTCCGAAGGCATATTTATCTGTCTTCCCAATTGATCCTGCAAAAGGACACAAAGAACCAGAAGTACCAATGGCTGAAGCTGGAGAAGAAGCCTTATATGCTTTCATAGTTCTGGTCATACTTTTATATTCATCCATAAGATTCAAGTAAATCAATTTAAAATTGAGAATAATGCCTTTTTTTAGAATTCTTATTACCAAGACCAATACAATATCTTCTCCAAGGGGCACTTTGTGTTTTTGTTACCTAATATGTTGACTGGATCACTTTACATTTAAAAAAATATAGCCCAAAAAGAATTAAGATGTGTTATGCACATGTATCAACTTCCTATGATGAATGTAATCATTATGTATGAAAATATGTACTAATAAAAATACAAATCAGAAAAAGACTTCAAATTTGGTCAGTTAGTTTAATATCCAAGCCTCATTGCCCAGAACTAACCTTTTCTCTTTATTTTTAACAACTGGAAAAGGTTGGAGAGCAAAACACAACCTCAGATTCTCTCACATTGGGGCAGAAATATCATAAAAAGTATTTGTTTTCAACAGAGTTGAACTCTCTGATTGAATGTCTCTTTGCAAGGCTGTACAAACCCTTAATGGCTGGCAAACTCTGAGTCCTGAGGAATTTTGGTCTTTCATAAGACTGATATAAATAATGATATTGGTATAAACCTCTGACTTGCTTTTATTACAAAGTAGATGGTAGTGGTGAGGAGTGTCATTTAGACAAAAGCAGGAACCTTCCAAGGGAGCCATAGTTGTGACTTGGGCTTCGTGACTTGATGAGTCCAATCTTCTCTAGTCAGTGTCACTCAATGAAATAAATATTTATATTCAGTGTGTGGTGCTTGAGCCTTTGAAATATGTAAAGAAGAGTAAATGTAGATCCTAAGAAGGGCATTGGGAGACTATGGGATGAAGTACCTTCTGCCGTTTCTCTGGGAAATGCTGTATTAATCATTTCTTTCTGTTTGTTCTTTGAGACAAGGTCTCACTATGTACCTCAGGCTGGCCTTGAACTCACTGTGTAGTGCAGGCTGGCCTCAAACTCCTGGCAATCCTGCCTCAGCCTCCTGAGTGCTGTGATTACAGGTGTATGCCACCACATCTGGCCTTAACCATTACTTCTTTAGTGATGATTTTCCATCAACTTATGAATAAATTCATTTTCCTTACAGCAGAAAGCCTTCCTTTTCTATGTTCTACTATCAGACTTTTTCCTTCCCTTGATTACACTCTTCTGGACAGTTGTGTATAATTGCCTTCATATCTACTTTGTCTACCTTTCTACATTTCTACTCTTTCTGCTCATTTCTCCATCTGCTCTTTCTATCATAAAATCTGGGTTCCTCTTTAGCAGACCATTTCTACTTCAGAGGCAGAGGGGGAGAGAGATGGAGAGAGAAGACACAGATATCCCAGGAGAAGTGAAAATGCATAAGCCCAAAGGCTTCCATTTCAGTAAACTGGAATGTCCACATTTGACTCGAGACTGAGGCAGTGTATCTAACAATGGTTATGAAAAGCAGAAAATTTGGAATGTGAAAAATATGAGTTATCAGAAAAAGGCTACAGCAAATACCTAAGAGGAGTGGGGATTCCAGTCTATGTTGTCATCGACCCCTTCAGAATCAACCTGCCCACCCTGGGTCACTTCTTCCAGTGGACACAAGATGGCAGTAGAGACTGATGTACCTGTGTTAAGCCTTGGCAGTTTGTATGAGTCAAACGTGGCAGCTCTGTGAGGCAGGATGGTAGGGTAAGGAGGCTGACAGGAAGGTCAAATGAGGCGACCATTGTGAAAAAACCAAATGATTGTCCAAGAGTATAATTCTAAGGAACACAATGAAGATATATCAGTAGCACCCATCTTCCTCTCCCCATCTCAAGTCAGTCTGCTCACTTACCTACTTTGAGATCAAAGAATAAAATAAGCCTGCGCGTGGAAAAGTGTGTAAGAAACAGAGTCAACCTATCCAGAGGTGATCAGGAGGCTGAGGGAAACTGGAAAGGATTAGGGAAATGGAGGGGGAGGGAGTCTGATGAGGCCAGTGACCATGCAAACAGAAATGGCAGTCATCAAATGAGAGTCACTATGTCTCATTTTTATTTTTAATGTTGGAGATGAAGCAGGTTGGCAGCAACTGGAGCAGAAAGGACATAAGGAATTTCAAAAGAGCAGGATAAAGATGTTTGGTAAAACCCACAGACACTGCTTCTAGAGTGCTGGGGGGAGAGTAGAGAAGAGACTTTCATGGAGAAGTATAGGGATTGTTCCCCCCTTAGGAAAAAAACAACAAAGTTTCTAGTACTTTGAGGACACAGATAATGTGTTCCAGAAAGCAAGAAAATGATCCAAGGTTTTTTTGTTTACTGTCCAGGGTGATTTCATGGGAGTCAAACTTAAGAAACGAATAAAATGGTGACTATGGATAGAAGGGGCCTTGAGATAGAAAGGGCAAGTTTTTTTAGTACCAGGAATCAAACTCAGGACTTTGCTCTTGCCAGGCAGGTGTGGCACTGCTGCATTATATCCCAGATCCAGAAGGGGAAAGTTTGAAAAGAGATTTGGACCCAGAAGTTGTGCTCCTGCTGTACCTGAAGCTGTGGAAATGAACTCCTTGACCTGGAAGAATATGCAACAACATAAAAGAGCGGGTCCAATATGGTTTCTAGAATAATTTATAGAACTACACGTGCTAACTGTTCTCTCTGATAAAAATTGTATTTTAAATAAAAAGTACACAAAAACATAATTTGGAATAACAGCCATTCTTTCTTGGTAAATGCATTTACAAGTTAAAATTGATAACATTTGCTTTCATATTAGAAATTATTAGAGGCTTTTTACATTATCAGATCAAGAGACAGATCATTCCATGTATCACAAAATACTGAAAATTTTACAGTTGGATAAGACAGCCTTGTACAACAGAAGAAAAAGAGAGAAAATAATGACATAGAGAGTTGATATTTATGAGAATGCAGGATAGGGGGCCAGTATTTGACAGAGGAAAATAATATGAATTGCCTTATTCACAAATAAAGGGAAGAGGGGAGTTAGATTACAGAAGAAAATACTCACATTTGTACAAGTCTAAGTATGTATTCCCCAATATATTTTTAATTATTTACTATCACTTTTATCAAAACATCAATGTTGGTAGAAATAGAGATGTTTAATTAAGTCTGTCAAAGGCTTTTAACTATATGCACATATATTTTTGATTTATCAAAATAGAAAGCAAGCAATCATTTTTGCCTAGTCATCTAATGGATAAAGATAAGGAAAATCATAACAAACAAAGATGCAACCAAAAGGCCTTGAAGAACATACATGAAAATCTCAACTGTTTGCAAAATGTCACCAACATCATGTCTATTTTGGGGAAAAAAAGCATTATGTATTATTCACACACAATTATCATAACAATCAGCAGGTAAAAGTTAAAAGATTAAGCAAAAGAGAAGTGCAAGATTAATTGTAGAAAGGAAAGGTGAGGAGGTATAAGCACCGTAAAAACAAAAACAATTTCTGGTTCGTGCCCTTGAATATTTCCTGTGCTGGTGCATAGCAGGTGTTCTATAAATTACTCTGAAGTGAACACACATCTGATAAGCAGGTGTCACATGAAAAATAAAAGAAGAAATAAAAAGGAAACAAGTATAAGGTGAAATACTATCTGTAGAAAGAAAGGTGTCAAGAAGAATATTTTGAAAAGTAATGTATATGTGTACGCAAAACAAAGCCCCAGATTTGTTAGCAGGATTTAATTACCTATGGAAAGTGTGCCAAGGGATCAAAGAAAAGTCAAAAGAGATTCTTTTCATTATACCTTTCTGTAGTATTTGAATTTCTTTTATCATCAATGTATATTATTGCTATAATCTAAAAGTTCAGTTTTTATTTTTATGTTATGAGCAAAAGCATCAGGAAGGAGAACTTGAAAAGAATCACAAAGAAAGAAAACAGAAGCTAAACACTGATATTACTGAAAAATAAAAATAGAGAAGAGAACAAAAGAAGTCAGAATAAATTAATCAGGGAATTCTGCAGGCTCTACCATCTGAAGGAAAGCAATCCACATTCTACCATGCTCTGGTTAGGAGTCATTCTTGACATGATTTCAGGAGATTTATAGATGTTCACAACCTCAAGTGTAGAGATTCACAGCTGGTGCTGTCAAAGTTGAACACAGAGCCAAGCAGCACAGGAAAAAGTGTGACCAACGGGGTTCCTAATAGTAAACTGTGAAAGTGAAAAGAAACCAGAGAGGAAATGAAGAGGGTGATAGCTGAGCAGCTATTTTAGGCAAAACAAATAGGGACAGAACATAAAGGGACATCTTTCGGTGAGTGGCCAACAGAAAAGACCAGCACTCCAGACCGGAACATTGTCAGAAGCCACAAGGTTCACACTGAAACAAAGCGGAACCAGAACAACCAAGAGATAAGAAGGAATCGAGTTTCCCTACAGAGGAAAAGAAACTGCTACACATCAAAATGGCTATAATGCTTTACTTTTATTTTGTTCTTTATTTGTGTTTTGGGTTTCTCATATAAGAGAAACCATGCAATATTTAAACTGTGTCTGATTTATTTCATTTAGAATTATGGTCTCAAATGACTACAAATGACTTCAATTTACAGGAAACAAGGAAGTAGACTTTGTGGGAAGGATATCTGGGGATGAGGGCAGATGGGAAGGTGGGTCAGGAAAGGAGAAATAAAAGTGATTAGCATGTAGTATGTATAAGTACCACTTTCCCGAGATCAGTGTGTTTATTATTTATCACAAACATACTAATTTTAAAAAAGAATAAAACTACTATAAAATGCTAAGTGCCTCAAGTGTCACCTTGCTAATGAATACAAAATTGGTCTCACTTAAAATCTTCACCAGTGTCCTCTGTAGAAAAACTGGTCATTTTCATCTGAATCTCCCCAACTCCATCTATGCTAATTTCTCAGTCCCAGAATATTTTTTTTTCAAAAAATTTTGTTTACAAAGAATTAGAATTGAAAGAAATGCTCTTTAAACAAGGTGATTTCTTTTTAAAATAAAGCTGAATTCTTTAGAGCAAAAATACTGATGTGGGCATGTGCACTAAATTTTGAGGGGTAAGTAATGTTTTGTTTTTCTATAAAAGATCTTTTTAGACATTAATGGGAAGAAATGAATGACCTGGGAACATCAACAGATAACTAGATTGTAAAAACAAAACTAAATTGCTACAGGTAGCTGTCCTATTACCAATGAAGCTGCTAATATTAGTAGGAGTGATGGGGAAATATCTATACTGAACTTTAGGGTTCCCAAAAGTAGAATATATTACATGTTCACCAACATGAAAGGAATCCATTAATCATGTAGATATCAATTAGGTTTAAGTGTATATTTTAACATATAAAAACAAAATTATGCAGTTTCTGAATTATCTGCTACAAAAATTGAAATGTGTCTTTAATTGTCTCCCCACATCCCGATCACCTTCCCAGATCCCCAAAATCTACCTCCCTGAGTCATTTTAAGAACATGGATGCATTTTGAGACCATAATGCTAATAAAACTCAAGTCCTTCTGAGTTGTGTGATTTCCAACTCAGACATGTCCCAGGCTTTGGCTCTTTACTGGTAAATCCTTTGGTAGGAAGCTTTTGGCCTTTCATAGGTGACCCTTTTAGAGATCATCCTAGAAACTATTCTTTTTAACTTGTTTGGGCATAATCCCATAGAAAGAAGATTAGGAAACAATGTTAAGAACAACAGATGAAGGAAGGTAACTTGTCAGCATTTACTTTCTGAGTAGCTACCTGTTTACAACCCTGTAGTTGGTTGCAGTGGGTATAACAATGACAGTGGAAATGGTAATTGTATTCAGCAATTAATAAGTGATGAGGAAATGAATGAAAGGTGGGTACTAGAGGAAAAAAGAGTGATGAAATTTTCAAAAGAAGTAGTTTAGATATAATAAACATTATACGTTACTATAGGAGGAATTGATTTGACAAAAGAATTTTTTGTGGTTAGCGGTCAGGTAACATGAAAAACAGTCAATATGTAGACTTCATAGTTGTTTTGAAGAAAATGAAAAAAAACCCCAAAAACACCAGTGAAGAATTCCACCTTTCTTCTCTGTTCAGTGTCAGTATCTGGTATCGCTTTTCAATAGAGATGGCAAGTATACCCCAGAACCTCCAGCTACAACTTCTTGCATCCCTGGAAATGATAATGAACCTCCATAACCGAGCTGTCCAGATGGATTCCAGCTTTCCCACTGCTACTTCTCTTTTGGTCATCCTGAGCCCTAAAATTGGAAAAATATTTGGGGGTTGGGAACTTACTGACTGTGATTCCCTTTGCCAAGGACAGATACACTTTAATTATTAAAGGTCTTCATGTTCCATCACCGTCACATGTGACCCCCACACTCAACCTACTTCTGTTTATTTTCAGTCTTCTCTACTCCACTGGTTTACTCCATGGTTGTATTTTTCCTGTGACACAAAGAGGATTCTATTCCTCACTGCTGTTAGCTGGAGTTCTGCGTGGACCTTTCACCAGTACTGCATCAACACTGGAATGCCTGACTTTAGTTTCTGCTGACTTTCGACCTTGGGTGTACTTTCTCTGGCTGTTCAATGCACCTGACTTGTCCTTGACCAATCTTTTGCCCAGGTGTAAGCCCTACTGGGCGCAGTTTCTTCGAGGTCAAGAACTACAACAGCATCCTTCAACTTCAGCATGCTTATTATTCCAATTCAAATTACTTATGCCAACAGAGAATCCCCTCCACCCTGGAACATGTTGAAAAGTCACCTTGTGAAATGAGGGTAGTGGCAACATGATAGCCAGGACACATAGGTATATGTGATAGATTTATAGCAGGCCTAAGACTTAAATCAGAGTGATAAAATTGGGCATCACAAAACAGGAAAGAAGAAGAAAACTAGTGATCAACAATAAAATGTGAAATGAATAAATGTTTAAGCTTCCTTGCAGCTTCAAACAGTTCCTGAAATTATTTTTTCAGATAAAAGAATATTAAAAACATGCATTCCCTTCTGATCTAAAACCTATCATGCTCCTATGACTTGCTCGAATCTCCAAGATTAAAAGGTCAAATAACAATGCCAGACAAAGATATACATATACATTTACCCTTAATTTGGTATATTATCTGATGTTCTCAATTAAAAATGAAAGTATATTGCATTCATCATTTTATTTGCATGGGCATCCCCACCATCAAATGTTTTTTTCATATAAAGATCTTCAAGGGCTTTAGTCTGATAAGGTGAAAAATTAATAAGAGTATCAATAAAAGTACTAGTGAATATATTGTCTGTAGCAGTGAATGATATGAATAAATCCTCTTGTTAATTGTTTATTATTTTCCAGGAGAATTGACTTTAGAAGAATTTACCAATGGCATGGCAAAAGATCAGGACCTACTAGATTTTGTTTCCTTTTCAGCACCTTTAAATGTGCTGAAAATAACCTGTAATGGGAAGCAGCCTGACAGTGAGAAAGATTCCTTCAAACATCCGGACCGGGCTGGTCTAGCAAAAGTGAAAATGAAGTAGCTGTGAGAATCCCTTTTCCAGCTCTTTGTGCGTTTGCTTTCAGTGAGATAGAAATGAAATTTACCCCAGTTACATGCTGTTGGCTTTAGGTCTTTATTATAATTATTACAGGCTTGTGAATACAATATTTCTTTTAGTCTAATAGAAACTTCCGTAAAGATCATAAATGGATGAATTGTTTCTTTTCCTTTTGTACACTGGTGGTCTCTCTGCAGATTAAAACATCATAATTAAATTGAAAGATTATCTCCAAGCCTATCAGTTCATAATACAGTTGATCTTGCCTGTATGTTTCTTTGCACACTTAATATGTATCTTGAATTAGAATCAGATTATCTGGGAAATATCTCCACAGTTTAACATTTTTAGATTAAACTTGCATTTGACATATGTGTTTGCTGCCTCTTGGCTTTTGTTGCATTTGCATATTACAAATGACTGGGTTCTGGTCTACTCGAGAATGTTTTTTTCTGCCCGTATTTTTCATTCCTTACCCTGAATGCCATCTTGAATTGGTAATAATGTTTTGCTCCAAAGGAAAAGTCTGAAGGTATGAAGAAAAAGGGGAAAACCTCAGGCTGGGCAGTGAGAATGTTTCCATCCGATTTGTTATACTTCTGAGTCCAGTTGTGCATGGAAATGTGATGTATCATCTGTAATTATTATGCCAGTTGGTGGTTTGATCAAAACAGCAGACACCCAGGCTATGCAACAACAAGCACTTGACATTTTAAACGGTCCTGACATTATAGCTCTGACATTTCATTTTTTTATATCCTTTCCAAAAAATGAAATGATGAATGGTATTTCTTGATGGGTTAGAACTTTTTAAGTTTTGGTTTCTATATCACAGTCCCATTAATATGTCTATCAATGAACAGCTTTCTTATGGAAACACAGTGAAGATTTCCAAGGCCAGATGTGAACCATCTTTATGTCAAAAGCTTCATAATTATGCTTTCATATTCAAATTTGGGTTAAAAATACACAACTGGAAAACTACAAAGACTGTGGGTTGGACTGTGCCTTTCTCCTTCACAATTATCATTGTGGATAAAGGTACAGATGAAAGTATGGATGAAGAATAAATGGCAGTAAAAAGGAAGTAAAAATGAAGGCAGAAAAGAAATTATAGATGAATGGATAGATGAAGACATAGATGGAAGTAGAAATATCCTGGGATTTTTTCCCAAAAGATAAGAAGACTCCTGAAGATGTGTATGATGTATGATAAAGTATATTGAAATACAATTTTTGCAAATAAATGAGAAAAACCATGGCAGCCATGATGCCACAAACTACAGTACTGTACTTACTTGTTGAAGGTTAGCTATCTCTGAGCTTCCAGGTAGCAGTTTTATTGTAACAAATCAGAATTCCATGAGTTTTCCCCCTATGATTATACAGTAGCATTTCCAAGTACGGAATTCCATGACAGGTGGCCTGGTTTGGGAAGAACCTCAACAATCTTAAATAATTTCTGGGACTCCTTTTATCAAAGTGTGGTGGCCCAGCCACAACCACATCACCATCTCATGAGAACCTAGATGCTCTGACATATTTTCCTTAGTTTTTTTTCTATAAATCCTTGATGCTTTGAAGGAAAGAGGCATTGTTTTTAATATATAGAAAGATAAAGAAGATGCTAAGGGGTCTAATAAATTTTGCCTTATAAAAGTGACCCCCTCAAAAGGGGAAGGGAGTTGACACTTACTGCAGTCTCTATACAGTTGAAAACACATTCACAGCAGATGGCCAGATTCTTTGGCCCAAAATATGGGGAAAGAAAGGAAGAGAGGAAAGAGTGAGAGGCAGCTGGAGAATGAAGACAAGCAGTAATCTGATTTCTTGTCCTTTCTACAAGTAAGTGGCTGATGACTGGTTGCTTCTTAATTAAGCCTTGATTCTTACTGGCACAAAAAATATTCCAGTTACGTGTGTTTTAAAAGCAGAAGAGAAAATTGAGAATGGTTTAGGTGGGACAGATATTCCTTCATTTTTGTTCTCAAAATGCACTGACATAAAACTAATTGGGGAAATAAATGAGCAAGTATGCTCTGCTTCAAATTAAATTTATGGCTGAGAGGCAAATGAAGAGATTTAAAGGAAGGGTTAGTGGGTTAAAGAAACAAGAATTCTAGGGAGATGCTGCTTGCTCTACTTCTCTCTCCCCCACTCATATTAGAGTAACCTTTAAAAAATGAAAACAAAATACAGAAAAAGTCCTGACATTTAAAACCAAGTTAGGGTCTTATATTTGCTGGAGAAATCTAAATCATTAAAACTGAGTGGACAGGGAATAGCTTTTTCAATATTCAGAGTTTATTTCTGGGGGCCGCTGTAGGTAGGCAAATTGGATCTTCAAATTAAACTCAGAATACCCAGTTTTATTGTGGGATGACTGCTAACATTTTGATAAGTACTGGGGGAGACAGAATTGCTTGGTGGAATGAACAATGGACTGAGCACCAGGTATGAATTCTTGTGACCTGAGTCAACCTGAGTCTTGGTTCTTCGGCTCTAAAAAGAGAGGACAAATTTCCAAGGTCTCTTCCACCTCTGCTAATCCATGAGACCCTCTCAGTGCAGGGAATAATGCCTCAGCACTTCAGAAAGACCAGGGTCTTTATCACTTTCTCATGACAAAACACCTCACACCCACAACTTAAAGGAGGAGAGATTGATTTTGGCTCAAAGTTTTAGTCCATGGTCAGCTGGCCCCTAGGCAGGAACAGGACAGCAGAAAAACATGGCAGATGAAAAACTCTTCAACCCATGGCAGTCAGGAAGCAAATAGAGAAGGGAAGAGCCAGGGACAACTATACACCTTTCCAGGTCATGTCTCTAGTGAACAACCTCCAACAAGGTCCCACCTCCTAACAGCACCTTCAGATGATCGACTGATAAGGACCTCACTCTCATGATCCAACCACCATCCACATGCATGAGACATTTGGGCACAGCTTAGATCTAAATCATAATAATCAGTTGCTTAGTAACAAAACTTAAGAAAAAATGTTTATATTTGGTTTTGGCTACAAGCCCAGATTTTTTTTTTTTTTTAGACTTTTAGGGTCAGTGAGTCTGCTTGATACCTATGGGCCCTATGTGTCAAATAACTAGTGTTCATCCCTGTATCTACAGCTGAGTTGCAGTCCACTTGTATAGGATGGTAGGTGAGTGATAGGTTGTCTACATAGAATTCTGGGAAGTCTTTTCAAAATGTTAAAAAAAATGTATATTCCTGGTATTTGTGGTGATCCTAATGCATAGCCAAGGGCAGAAAGCACAACTGCTCATATTTTCTCTATAAAAGCTCCATTCCCATGCTTATCATGAAAATAGCTAGAGTCCATCCATACTCTATTTTATATCATTGACCTTTAAAGTGCCCTGAAGCCATAGAGTCATATTTCCTTTTAAGATACATCAAAAAATTGCAAATGTGCATGCTTTCATCACTCATTAAATTTACCTCAAGAAACTCGAGTTTCATGTTGACAAATAAGATTAAAAACGCATGGTGGAGTCATTGTGAAAATAATACGAGATAACGTAGGAAAGCATATGTCTGGTACAGGGCCTGACCACCATTGTATCCTTACTACATGCTTGTCTCTACAACATTAGATTTTATTTCCCTTTGGTACTGGAGATTGAACCTCAAGGAAGCTTTATCATAGGCTACAACCATAGCTCTTTCTATTTTGTTATACTGTGACAGTGTCTTGTTAAATTGTCCAGGCTGGCCTCAAATTTGTAATCCTTCTGCCTCAACCTCTCTGAGTACTGGGATTACAGCCCTGAACCACCACACCCAGCCACTTTTAGAATTTGAAACCCTCAAGTACATGAAGGTAAGGGCACTTCTTGTGGATTATATTAACTCTGTAAGGTTTTATAAGATAAATGAATCTGATGCTGGAAAAATAAAAGGGGGCTGAAGGGAAGGGGAAAAACAATTGAAATATGTTATGTACACATACCAATTCTTACAGTGAATATAATCATTATGTACTGCAAACATGTACTAATAAAAGTAAAAATAAAAATAAAAAGTATGACAGTAGATTTGTCCCCTATACTTTAACTACTTGATTCTTGAGTCACATTTAATTGGCCTTTCTAATGAGGCCTGAGAACACAGGAATCTGTAGATTATTATCTTTAGATGGAGGGAAGATTTCAAATACCAACATGCCCTTTCAACTGGTCTTCAAATTATCAGTTAATATGTTTGCTATGTTCTTAAAAATGACTCATTTTCAGGCAAAATTCATACAAATAGATGACACCCTTAGCCTCTACTATAGCATTTATGTCCAGGCTTTTCCTTTTGATTAGAAACTTCACATTTCTGTAACATATTTCACTTTTAAGGAGTATTTTAAGACATAATATCAAAACTGATAGCAATTCATTATGATAATTTTGGTACATATGTAGCTATTATGATCATTTATATATTTAATATATATTATTCAGACCAGTGTACATGAGAAAATTCAGTAAAAACATATCCAGAAACTGACCCCCTTCCTGTACCAAGATGCCACTTATCCTACTACCAACCTGCCTTAGGCTACTATTATCTCTTGTCTGGATTATTACAGCAAGCTCTTAAGTAGTTTCTGTTTCCAACATTGTCTCTCCACAATGTACTCTCTCACCAGAACAGCCAGAATAATCCAATTAGAGTATAAGACAGATCATGTCATTCAGAACTCTCCTGTGGTTTCTATTCACATTCAAGATAAAGTGAGAAAGTTCCTGGAGAGGGCTTCAGGGTGTCACCTAATCTGCCCCTCTCCTCTCTCCTTGTCTTTTCCACCTCAGCCACTGCTACTCTTGACCTCATTCACTCTACTTCGGCTTCAGTAGCTGCTTTTCTTTTTGGGAAACACTCTGGGTACAAGTCCTGCTCAGAGACTTGGCTCTTGCTATTCTCTCTGTCTTGGATGTTTTCTTCCAAATAGCAACATGGATTTTACTCCCCTCCT